AAATGAAGATGAAGAGGAGGGGGGGGGGCAGATTTGTCAAAAAAGGAGGAAGAAGAAGTAAAAAAGAAGAGAAAGAAGAAGACAAAAGATGATGATGATGAAGAAGAATATGAAGATGATATAAGAAGATATGACGAATGAAATAGAAGAATGAAAATAAAGAGAGAAGATGATGTGATGAAGATGATGAAAATGAAGATGATGCTGAAGATGATGACGAAGAAGAATAAGAAAAAGAAAAAAAAAGAAGATAAAAAGCAACCTTGAAGAAATCGCCTTAAGACCTTCCTTTGTTCCGAAATGATGTCCCAACATCCGGGGTCTGATCTCCGTAACCATCCTCTGTCCCTCCCCCCCCCCCCCCCCCCTCTCTTCCCCGCCCCCCCTCCCCCCCCCCCCTGCTTCCCTGCTTCCCTCTTCCTCTGGTCTTTCTCTGTTCCTTTCTTCTTTGTCTTCGTCTCATTTACCTTCTTCTTCTCTCCTTCGTCTTCCTTCTTCTTTTCTATTCCTCTCTCTCCTTCTCCTTTCTCTCCTTATGTTCTATTTCTCTCTTCTCTATTCACATTTCTCTTCCCATTTCACTTCCTTCCTCTCTTCTCCCTTTATCTTCCCCTCTATCCCTTCCTCTTCTTCCCTCACCCCCTTCCTCCTCTCTCCCTATTCCCCTTCCTCTCCCTCTCTATCCCCCCTTCCTTCTCTCTCCCCCTCTCTTTCTTCTCTATTCCCCATCTTCCTTCCTATCCCCTCTTCCTTCTCTATCCCATTACTCTTCCTTCCCTATCCTATCCCTCTTCTTCCTATCCCCATCCTCTCCCTTCGCTATCCTATCCCTCCCTCCTTAACTCCCTTCCTCTTCCCTCCTTACCCCTTTCCTTCACTCCCCATCCCATTCCTCTTCCATCCCTAAACCCCTCCCCCTTCCCCCCCCCCCTCCCCTCCCCTCCCCCTTCCCCTCCCCTCCCCTTCCCCCTTCCCTCCTCCCCCTCCCCTCTCTCTTCCTCTATGACACGCACCGACACACACCCGCACACGCACACACACACACACACACACGCAGGTGCATATATATAAGCGTCCTCGGTGTGGAACTGACCACAACATTGAGACCATTTGGACCAACAGGTAAGTGCATGGTCGCTGTAAGTGGGTGTCCTTTACCTCTCTCTATCTCTGTCTCTCGGTTTTCTTTCTTTTACGTCATCTAATTTTTTTCTATATATATATATATATATATATATATATATATATATATATATATATATATATATATATATATGTATATATATATATACATATATATATATATATATATATATATATATATATATATATATATATATATATATATATATATATATATATATATATATATATATATATGTGTGTGTGTGTGTGTGTGTGTGTGTGTGTGTTGTGTGTGTGTGTGTGTGTGTGTGTGTTTTCATTGCAATTTTTCTTTTACTTCCTCTGATTTTTCTCTTTACATTTTTTCATTTTTTATTTCTCTCTTATTCTTCTTTTCTATTTTTTCTCTCTCTAAATATTTCTCTGTCGATTTTTAAAAAATCTTTTTCTCTCTTTCTAATTCTCTTTCTTCCTCTCTGGTTCTTATTCTCTCTTCTTCTTTCTCTTCCTTTTTCTCTCTTATTCTCTTGATTATTTTCTAATTCGTTTTTTTCCTATCTCTCCCAGATTCATTTTTTTCTCTCTGTATCTATTCTATATATAATAATTTTTCTTTTTTATGTTCAATCTCATTTTTTCTTTACATCTTTTCTATGTTTCTTCTATCTATATTTTCTTTCTTCCTTATTATTTCTCTATTTTATATCTCATTTTTTCTTTTATTTCAATCTCATTTTCTAATTTCTTTCCTTTCTTTTAACTTTCACATTCTTTCTTACTGATTCTTTCTTTCTCTCTCTCCAATTCCCCAATTCTTTCTACATTCATTTTCTCTCTTTCTGATTCGTTCTTTCTCTCTCACCAATTCCCCAATTCTTTCTACATTCATTTCCCCAATTCTTTCTACATTCATTTTCTCTCTTTCTCATTCGTTCTTTCTCTCTCTCCAATTCCCCAATTCTTTTTTCTCTCTTCCTCATTCTTTCTCTCTCTCTCTCCAATTCCCCAATTCTTTCTACATTCACTTTCTCTCTTCCTCATTCTCTCTCTCTCTCCCAATTCCCCAAATTCTTTCTGATTCGTTTTTTCTCTATCCAATTCCCGATTCCCCAATTCTTTCTACATTCACTCTTCCTGATTCTTTCTCCAATTCCCCAATTCTTTTTTCTCTCCTCCTCATTCTCTCTCTCTCTCTCTCCAATTCCCCAAGCATGAAGTTCCTGGCAATCCTCCTGCTGGCGGCGCTGACGGCGGAGCTCGTCGTCGCCGCCCCTGGGAAGCTGAGCAGAAGCAAGAGGCAGGACGACCCAGTGGGAGACGAGGAATGGGCGTCGTCAGGCTGGGGCAGCGACGACGACGACGACTACGAAGAAGG